TGGTTCACTGGGGGCAGCTGCTCCTTGCTATGATTTCGAAAATTCCCCCAGCAAGTCTGAAGTCCACGGGGGTAACTCCGGACGAGTCGATTGAGGTTTCCCAGCACCCCTACTGGAAGGCGAAGAAGTGGGCATACAGGGCCGTTGAACGCTTGTTCAACTTGTAAGGATTCAAGGGAACAAATCTTTGGTTATCTATTTATTCCCTATCTGTTCGTAGGTTTGGATCCGCATCAAAGCCGACCCCACCAACTCAACCCCAGAACGATGGAACTGTGGACCCCGCTCGGTTGATGGCATCCTACCAGGAGAAGGTACGAAAGTACGAGCACCAGGCGGTGCAATGGCAGGAGTCCCAACAGTTCGTGCAAGAGTTCTTGCCGAACATCGTTCACGTCTACTTGACCCAGATGAACTTGTTTGCGAACGGGCAGTTCATGAGCGAGAGGGTTCAAGAGTGCATGGCGAGCTTCCTTGCCGATTGGTGGGTCAATGCTTTTAACTTTATGGGGGAGGATGGTTGACCCTCCTTGTTTTATTAACAGCGTTCGATTTAAGGTTGCTTGGGGACAATACAAGCAGCACTTGCAAACCATGATTGTGAAGTACATTTTCCCAACCCTGTGCTACACCGAGGCCGATGCAGAGCTTTGGGAGGATGACCCTCTGGAATACATTCACACCAAATACGGTTGGTGAAGAACTTCTTGAAACGAATCAGCACTTAATTGTAATTGCACCGTATATAGATTACCAAGAGACCTCTCGTAGCCCATCGAACGCCGTTGGATACCTCCTCATGGAGATTGTGCACAGACGTTTCAAGTCCACTTTCGCGTCTGTTATGGAGTTCATCTTCGGCATTTTGGATCAGTAAGATAATTTTGTCAGTTTCATTGAAATGAAACTGACGAAATTTATGTTTTCAGGTACAATGCCGCTCCTCTGGAGCAAAAAGACATTCGTATGAAGGACGGTGCACTTGCTATGCTGGGAGAGCTCGCGGAAGAAATCGCAGACAACCGGTCGCCAATCGGGAAAGAAATTGAGGCACGAATCTTGATCCCACACGTTCTTCCCGATTTGAACAGTCCTCACAAGATTCTCCGAGCACGGGTGATATTACGAGAACATCGTGCAGACATTCAGTTCCCAACTAATCATTTTATCAGGCATGTGATACCTTGAAGAAGTTCGCGGACATCCAAGGTTTCCAGTTCTCCAACAACGAGGTAAGAACATTGCAGCGCTGTATCCTTTAAGGGGTTTCTTACGTTGGTCTAGATTCTTCAAGCAACCTTCCTCACAATTCAGGAGCGTATGAGGGACCCTGAGCTTCCTGTCTGCATTGCTGCATCAACTTGTATGGAAGTGATGGTCTTGTTTGACAACGGTCAGTTGCGATTATCAAATTACCACCGAAACCTATGCTGACACTCTCACGTGCGTAATAGCCCGACCGCTGGTTCAAGCTTCGATCAGCCAGATTATGCAGAGTAATCGAACGTTGTGGATTTTTCAAGAGCGCGCGCTAATGTTTTTCGTTTCAGCTGTTCTGGAGTTGACAAACAAAATTGAGATGACGGTGCTCACCGACATAATGAAGCTTCTTGTCGAGAACTTTGCAAGCGAGATTGCACCATTCGCAGTGGAGTTTGCCAACCAGCTGGTTAGTTTTATCATGTCTTCGCTGATCCGAACGACTGATGTTCTTTGGAACAGTCTCAATCTTACATTCGTATGATGCGCGAAGTCGATGCCTCCGCTGGAGATTCCGATGTGTATGAGAAAGTAGATGCCGCGACAGAAGTGCTGAAGGCCCTTATCACTCTGCTCTACGGATTGACTGCGGACGGGGTAAGTTTGTTCACTGCACGTTTGTTCACCGCACATCGGCGCGCCTTTCTAATCAATTCCCATCTAGACGACCCACTTGACCGAGGAGACCAAAGTGTTGTTCTTGAACGTCGAAACTGCCGTCTTGCCCGCAATCCAGTACACGTTGGAAGAGCAGAAAGATGATGCTTACGAGTGCATTTTCGAAATTTTGGAGCTTTTCACTTTTACCCTGAAAGCTGTCACTCCAAACAATCGTGCAATGCTCCCCTTGGTTATTCGGGCAGCACGCGAAGGGAACTACGATACCGACTTTTCAGGTATACTTTTTAGTTTAGGACAGAACACCATTGTTTTCTGAAAGTGTCTCTCTCAGACATCTTCCCAACATTGGATAACTACCTCGTTTATGGAAAGGAAATTTTCTTGGAAGATCAGACTGGGTCGTTTATCCCTGCTTACATTGAAATCATTAAGGAGGTATGGCGTCCTAAACTTCTTCGGGGTCATTTCGTTGACACATGAGCAGGTGTGCGTTCGGCCACCTCCTGAGCAGCCGCTTGGTGAGCACAAGCTGAATGCTGTTTCATTGATGGAGTCGATGCTCCTTAACCTGCGCAGTGCCATTGATCAGGTCAGTCGCAATAATTTCTTGTCGATTAGCGTCATATCCATTCTGCTGATGATTTTTTAGTATGTCGAGACATTTATTAAGATCGGTCTTCAAATGCTCTCGGAGGACTATAACCCGCGAGAGGATGGCTCGTACAGCCCAACCATCGTCCGATACATGGAAGTGGTATGCGGAAGTTTGAACGTTGATCGAATCGTCTCTTTAAAATGCCGTGGTCGCAGGTTATCAATGCCCTTTACTACAATGCCGGTTTGACGCTACAAATCCTGGTCAACATGAATGCCGCTCAGCAGTTCTTCGAAGCATGGCTGAAGCATCTTAACATGTTTGTTCGTGTGCACGATAAGAAGCTGTCGATTGTTGCGATGGTGGAAATTTTGGGCATTTCGCCCGACACACTCCCCCCCCTTGTCCAGTCCATCTGGAACGACTTGTTCAAAGGGTGCATTTTCTTGTTCCAGAGCTACCCGGCCGCAGTTCGTGGTGAGTACAAGAAGATCGGCGACAAAGATATTTTCTGAGACCACTTTAGAAAGGGCGCTGCTCAAAGCACAGGAAGACGAGGACGATGACGATGACGAGTATGGATCCTCGTTGTTCATTAACGGTGGTTCGTGTTTATTCATCGCTTTCTTGAGTCATAAAATTAACACATTGTGAAGGTGCTGTTCCCTCTGCTCCTGACGGCGACGAAGACGGTGACTTGGATGGCCCCAATGACGACTTCAGCCAGCTCTTTGCCGGATTCGTAAGCCTGCAATCATGTTCGACTGATTTCAGCTTCTAATTTGTGCTTAAGGACGACGACGATGACGACGATTTCGAAGAAGAACTTACCACCGAAGACCTGTACAGTGAGAGTGTGCTTGACGGAATCGACGCGTTCGAACGCTTCAGACAATTATGGCAGCACTTCCATGGAATTCCCGTGGTTCTCGACCTTGCCCGCAAAGTCGCGGAGTCGGACCCTCAAGTTGCCACTGGAATCGAAAGCGTCATTGCGTCCAATGAGCAGCAGTTTGTCTTAGAGGGTCAACAACAGGCCCAGCAGCAAGCCCACACAAAGGCACAGCAGAAGCACCAAGCATAAGTTTAACTCATGCTCACTTTGACGGTCACTTTGGTTGCGCTATTGGTCTCAGTTTATTTCGCTCTTTCTAGTTTATCTCTCTCGTTTCACTTCATTTTCGTTGTTCGGACTCCGTCCTATCATTAGAGGCTGTTCCATTATCATTTCAGTCCTTCTTCTTTCTGGTGTGTTGTTTCTTCCCCCTTTCTTTGGGAAATGCGATGATTGGGAATAGTAGAACTAGTGCGGAAGCTAAACGACGTGGAACTTCAAAAGTGAGCTGGGTGTTTCCCTCCATATTACTCCTGCACTCATCAATATCCATCCAATCTCAACTTTTAGTGCTGTTCGTTGTTTTTGCATCCGGCGAGTGTTTTTGCTAATGGTGTGGTTGGCGGTGTGGGGTTGTGCCTCACGATCGAAGGCTGTTTCTTTGTTTTGTTTTCAAATTTTCATAATACGTTCTTCAGTACAGTTAGTGGGCCAATTTCCTTTGTTGAATTCATCAGCATAAAAAATACGAAGATTTAAATACCTATCGCCTTTACTAAAACAAAGACATTCTGGATTTCCTTAAGTTCTTCTCGGGTCAAGCACAACAAAACTCAACAATATAACAAGTTCTCGCATTTGTCATTGGTCAGACATGCCGTACATTTTCTTGAGGGCCGTTTCAGCTTCCTTGTATTCCAGACGAGCCTGGGCGACAATCTTTTCAATCACAGAGAGTGCATCGGTTTCACTCAAGACGCCAGAGGATGATTTCTCAGGACTATCCGACCCAACTGGAGAAGCGGACCTCGCCTCAGCGGATGAAGGAGCACCAGGTTTTGTTGGCGATGATGCCGAAGATGGTCCGGTGGGGCTGTTTGCATGCACGCCAGAGTCGCGACGAAGCTCTCCAATGCGCTGTATTCGCTCGCAAGAGTCACGAACTTTGATGATCCCAACGACGGCTGAAGATCCTTTAAGGAAATGGCCGAGTCGTGAAACTTTGAGAAGATTCTTTTCCTTCCTGGGAGCTAATTGAGTGAAAGGCGGAGGTATTGAATGCGGAGAACTCACAGCGCAATATCTATGCTGCAAAACGTCTCTTCTGCTTGCTCAAAGTAGTTTAGGATGATGCCTCGACTAAATTCTCTGTCCGTGTCGTCTGGCTCGTCCATATCCAAAAGCTGATCGAAGATCACCTGGTCGATGATTCCATCCGTTTCGACTGACATCAGGGCGAGTGGTATGCTCCGTGCTGCAGCAGGTCGATACCCAGGAGATTGAGTTTGCGACTGCTGCAAGCTGGTTGGATGGCAGTCAGAATTATCCAAAATTATGAGTCTACAAGCCACTAACATTGCCTGCTCAGCCCGGGTTTTGTCTCCCGGTTCGCATGCCGGTAAAATAACCTAGGCCGACAGACTGATTACTGTTAAACTTCTTGAATGCGCCGTCAAAAATAATTATATATGACCCCTAAGTGATTTGAACATTTAGCCTTCTGATCTGGAGTCAGACGCGCTACCGTTGCGCCAAGGGATTATGACTGCATCTGCCCTCCCTGTAGAGGTTTTATTTAGATACCTTGGTCACTATTTTACTATTGAAGGGTTTGATCTTGCTGCAACTATTGATCATCGCTTAGAGAAAGCTCGTGCCTCATTGTATCTTTTTGCACCTTATGTCTCGTACTTTGGTGGGTCTGCTCCTCGTGTTGCCAGGTTGTTGTTTTTGTCTTTTATTAGACCTTCACTTGAGTTTGGTTTAGCACTTATTCAGCCTTCCACTGCTCAGCTTCAGGTACTCGAGCGTTTTTGTTATCATGCACTGAGTCGTCTGTTTTCGATAGCCCATACCACTTCGCGTGTTGGTTTGTTGCTGTTAGCGCAAATTCCTACTTTTGAGTTCAGGCTGAAATACCTTCAGGCACGTATGTTTGCTCGCTGGTCTAGTGATTCCAGCCCTCTGTTACCAGCTGCTGTGTTGCAATTCTATCGGTCATCTCCAGTCGGTTATGGTTCATCTCCTTATTTTTCCGCTTGTCACAATGATCTCATTGTTCCTATGCCTGCTGTGCTCCCACTTCATCCGTTGATGTTGCATTTTCAGTCTTTAGCTGTTGCGCATAATGGACCAATTGCAGTTTCGTTTGCCCCTGTCCGCAATTTGAAACTTCGCCACCCTTTGTTGCTACCCCCACACCAACATCTCCCAACAGTATGTCTTCGTTTGTTCCTGCTATATCGGCTTGGCCGCCTGTTTCCAAACCCCCGACCTTATTGTAGGAACTGTCATGATGCCCCTGAAGTGTCGCGTGCCCATGTCTCTGTGTGTCTACATTTGCGTGCTAGTTTGTCTGCTAGTTTTGATTTAGGCCCGCCTGACGATCCCCGCCTACCTCTTGACATTGCAATTGATATGCTTTCACCACAGCCTTTTATTCTTCCCCTGCTTTTTCCCAGTGGGTTCTTGTTCTTCGTGCACTTAACCGCATTTGGTCAAACTGTCTTGGTTATGAGTTAGTTTTGTCTCCAGCTCCTGATTCTATCTTGTCTGCTTTTGTTGATTTGGATATGCCTTAGTGTTTTGAAACATTTACTTTTCCTACGGCTCGCACGGCTCCCCATGTGCTGCCAATTTACGTGTATTTTTACACTTGTATTTGGATTTTGCACCAGCGGGTGATATGTATTGGTTGGACAATAAATACATATTATGAAGTTCAAAAAAAAAAAAGCATTCCTACGGCTCGCACGCCTTGCCGTGTGCTGCCAATTTACGTGTATTTTTACACTTGTATTTGGATTTTGCACCAGCGGGTGATATGTATTGGTTGGACAATAAATACATATTATGAAGTTCCAAAAAAAAAAGCATTCCTACGGCTCGCACGCCTTGCCGTGTGCTGCCAATTTACGTGTATTTTTACACTTGTATTTGGATTTTGCACCAGCGGGTGATATGTATTGGTTGGACAATAAATACATATTATGAAGTTCAAAAAAAAAGAAAAAAAAAGCATGTATTGGTTGGACAATAAATATAGATTATGAAGTTCAAAAAAAAAGAGCAAGTGTTTTGAAACATTTTACTTTTCCTACGGCTCGCACGGCTCCCCATGTGCTGCCAATTTACGTGTATTTTTACACTTGTATTTGGATTTTGCACCAGCAGGTGATATGTATTGGTTGGAAAATACATATTATGAAGTAAAAAAAAAGAAAGTGAAGCAATCACTTTACTTACATGTATAACACTCGGTTTGCACAATCCTATACCACTGCAGGACACGTTTGTCTGCATGCGCTGAATGATTCTTTGTCAATTATTGTTTAGTGACTTTGTGCTATTCGTTCTTCCCCAAACAACTTGCCAAGCAACCAATTTTTTTGACAATAGTTCCACTGAACTTGGGAACTTCCTTGTAGGTATCTTCGTAGCCTATTATCGTTTATGTTTGTGCTTAAATCTTTTTATCTGGGGGATAGGTTGTCAACATCTGTCTTGTCGAGCACGAATGGACATAACTGTTGGGTTTTGGAGAATACTAGCACAAGAGAATGCTCCTTAGAGTATCGCCACAGGCTCCTTAAATAAGTGTACTGCCGTTTTGGCTTTTCCTTCCGGAAGCTCTGGGTCGCAGCGATAAGGTTTGACTTTTCTTCTCACAGGCGTAGCAAAGCATAATCATGCTAAGCTGTGCATGAGATCTAGCTCAATTTTGGCCTGTTGAAGGTGTAGTATCCGTTTTTCAGGGTCTCCATGGCAATCACACATCCGCCTTTACTGACCCTTGCCCTGCCATCTCCTCTACAATACTAAGATGTCTGTTTCCCTTTCGGACAATCTTCAAGACAACCTGCGAGTCCTTTATTGCAGTTGAGAGCTTGAAGGATTCCTTTCCCAAATGTTTCAGAATTTTTGCGTCTTGATCTATTTTGCCTACTGTTCATGTTCCTGTTTTACAGCTTCCGCTTGATGTTGCAATTGATAGCCTACGTCCACTTTGCATTGTCAACCCAGCAAATCTTGCACCGTAAAACTGCACTCCATTTTTTTAGTTTATTGGCTATTTTAGACAAACTTTAGTTTAAGGGAACGTGATGGAAAATTGATGGAATGTGCAGGACTTTACATTAAGGAAAATTCTAGCACTTTGGATTGATTTAAAAGCAGAGCTCATGCAGCTCAATGTCCTTGAAGATCTTCCAGATCCCTAACGGCATTGAAGCAATCAATGTTGACAATGAGGGAGACGAGCAGTTCTTTGAACCAGGGGAAGCACGCATAACGGAGTTGGTGGATGATGAGATTCATGTGGAGTCTCAAGACAATCTGGATGGATTCTACAAGCCCAGCCCGCCCTCCTTCACCCATCCTTCCAGCAAAACAAATGCGCGAGCAAACATCGCGACTGACCAGTGATCTAATATTTGGACGGCAAGCCCCTCGTGGTAGTTCAAAAGCAACATTGGAAAAACTCGCCACGCACTGTCTCGCTCAGGATATACCCGTCCCAGCTATGTATCAAGAGGCATTGCAATCTCCATTTGCGAAGATATGGGATGCAGGGATGAGATCAGAACTGCTGGCACACCGCGACAATGGCACCTGGGAGATACAAGTTGCTCCACCATTGGAACAAAATGGGTCTTTTGTCTTTTGATTGAAGCCAAGTAGCGATGGAACGATCGCGAAGTTCAAGGCTCAACTGGTTGCCCAAGGTTACTCACAACGGGAAGGCATCGATTGTGATTGGAATGGCCTCCACACACCGGTAGTTCACCATTTGACCTTGCGAATCTTATTAGCGTTAGCTGCGGCATTGGGGTTACATTTCAGCTGGATGTCGTGACAGTTTGCCTCAACGGAATTATGTCACAAGAGTTATACCGGGTCAAACATCTTGACATTCATCATCATTTTCTGGTTGAAAATTCTGCACACAGTCTTGGTGGACGCTAACTAAACGTCTTCCTGCAGATCCTTTCACACGCCTTTGTGATGCTATCAGTATTCGACCTTGCAATCCTGTTTGAGTGGGAGAAATGAAAACAAAAAACATGGCGCAAACATAAGAGCCTGGATCTGGTGGGAGTATTGCTAGAAACAACTAGACTGTTGTACCCCACACGTGTTTATTTAGTTGTTTTATCTGTCATTATCTAAGCCTGGTTCTCCAGATCCACTAACACTAAGACTGGTGAACCAGGTTATTAGAACTATATATTATACAATTAAGATCCTCTGACACTAAGACTGGTGAACCGGGATCTAAGACTTATTGGTACGCATCTCATCTTCCTTCTAATGTTTTTATCCCACACCTCGACAGCGCTTGTTTGCGCTACACTCGCCCTGTAAAATATATAACCTCTTGCTCTGGGTCATCCTGAGACCACTGGACCCTCAGCAGCTGGTTCAAAATCACTGAGCTGACTCTCAACAGCTCAAAAGCAACTTAAAACTCTGACTTGATATCTATTCGCTCTTGTATGTCTTCCACCTCTCCCCATGTGCTACCATTTACCACATTATGCTAACACAATTTTTTGGGGGATACTTATGGAAAGGCCTGAACATCTCTGTATTTGCACTAAAGAATATTAAAAGCTCCTACTGTACTTCCATGCCACTAAGGCTCCTGACCTGGATTCTTTCCCCTTTTCAAGTGGCTCCTCCTCTGCTGCCCACTCAGTTATTGTGCGTTTGTCCAAGGCCATTACAAAAAGTCCGTACAGTATATTGAATTGACAAGACCGATTTCCTATGAATATTAATTTTGATTGATGCAATATAGATACAAATCGTCTTCAAAATGCCAAAATCTAAACCAGCTCTTATCCAGTCAGTTCTATGAAAATGCAATCAGACTGTCATTTCTCTCTGCTTCCTCTCAACTCCAAAACTTCCAGCCTCCCTATCCCGCTGTAGATCAAACGACCACCGTGATAGCGGTACCTCAACAAATGCCGCTTCGGTTACTGCGTCCGCACTCCTTACGCGACTCGGGTTGAGCTCGGACTGTATTTGAGAATCGATGCGTTGCTGGTCTTCCGATGCTGGCCCGTGATTCGCGGTTCCTTTTCTTGACAATGCGACCGAGGACGACGGTGTCTCGCACTTTACGCGTCGACGTGAGTTACAACGTCTTACGAAGTGGAGGATGAACGCGCACAAGACGCATCCGACAATCACGCCGGCAACACCGACTCCTGCCCATTTGGCGATGGCGACGAGAAGCGCGCTGATATCGGAGTCGAGGGTGGGTAAACCAGCGTAGGCTGTGCTGTCATCGGTTGGAACGAGGAGCGGTGTTCCGGGTGTTGCGGTCGGAATGGTGGAAGGACCCGCTGTGGCCGTAATGGTGATAGCCATTGCAAACACGTCGCGCAGGCCCGTCACGTGTGGTTCGCACTCGCCACATGAGCAACCAGCAGAGAACACTGGTCGTCGAGTTTCTTCGGCTGTGCTGGTTCACGGCGTCCTCGGGACTCGGTTTCAGCGGTTTCTTGCCCGTATTCCGCTCTCCACCTTGGGGT